AGCGGGGCGGGAGCGGGGCCAACGCTGAGGGAGCGGGGCTGCAGCGGGGCCGCCGCTGAGGGAGCGGGGCTGCAGCGGGGCGGGAGCGGGGCCAACGCTGAGGGAGCGGGGCGGGAGCGGCGGGCGAGCCCGGCGCCGCCACCTCAGCGTGCCCCGGCAGCACGGCCTCGAACCGGCGGCGACAGCCGTGAGAAACAACCCCCGAACGCCCAGCAACAGCTCCCGCTTTCCTTACCCCGCCCAGCTTCTGCTGTCAGGGGATGCTGTTCGTTCCCTAGATTCACACAGACCTGTAGACAGCCTCCCAGCCCTCCTGTGAGGGCTTTAAATCTATAGCCACTACTCCTCAGCTCTGTTCTGTAAAATGTAAAAGTGTGTCCCAAATATAAACATTTCACCAGAAAACATCAGGTTTTGTACGTACTTAAGAAAAAAAAAAAATAATGATAATGGTAGAAACATCAAAATCAATGCAAACTTTAGTATAAGAAAATTCACAGCATTTTTATTATTTGAGTTAGCTTTTATAGTTCAAACACTGCTCCTGGAGAATGTGATGCAAACAGAGGAAATCCCACAGTATTTAATTTGTTATTCTTCTGCACAAAGGAAAACAAGAACATTTAACACTGGAGAAAAATTTCTTGCTGAACTTTTGGAGAAGACCAGTGATACTTAATACTATTAAGAATTGCATCATACCTTGTTTACACTTTTATGTTCAGTAAGTTCTTTTAGCACTCAGGACAGGAAATTCTGAGAGTTTGAATTAATCATCCCATAAAAACATGAATATAACCCTTCTTCTGCTGTTTTACCTACCACAAACTTCTTGCTCAGAAGAAATCTGAACTTTAAAGCATACCCAAGTGTTTTTGCAAGATTTACTAGTCTCCTACAGAGAGAGAGCAGCTGAAAATAGGACACTTTTTTTCCCCACCAGAAGTCCTGAGTTTGTCTGAATTTGTAGCAGCAGAATAGATGGCACAGTAGGAAAAATCCACTACTGAAACTGGGAATGTTGGACCAGTGGTAGAGGAATTTTGAACGTACACATCTGCTTCAGCAGCAAACAAAAAGAACAAAAATACCACAGAGGGTCTGAGATCAATCAGATGATAAATGGATCAATTTGATTATCTTGAAAAGGCAAAAACATGTATGATTGTGCATTAGCAATATCTAAAATTTTCATATTTTATTATCTTTTGTCTATCTTTTAGCTCTTTTCAAGACAAACTTGCAGTAAACTAGCACAACGGTCTCCAAAGCACATTCAGAAGTCTCAAAAATATTCTGACTGGACAAAAACTCAGCAACTTTCTCTTCATACACAACTTTCAAGTCCTATTCTAAAGAACTAAGAATATTACATCCAGGCACTATTATTTTATTTATGTAAGCAGCTGTTGTGGTTGCCACAGAGATGGTATTCAATCTTAAACAGAAACGTGGTCTGAAAATGACCTTTCACTGTATTTGCTGCAAATATGAAAATGTATAAGAACCCCTGTGAATACTGTAACATTTCTGTTCAGTAGCTCATGATTAAAAAAAAAACCAAAAAAACAAAAGATATTTCATTGCATTCTAACCATCAGCTTCCTATAGAGAGATGTAATGAGGGGTGATAATTGTATATGGTTTCAAACATTTGATGCAAAAATATGTTTTAGGTCTGTCTTTGAAAGGCCAGTTCTCATCAGAAATAGCAAAATTTAACCCACAATTGTACGCATCTTTATGATGCATTTCACAGCTGTCTTCCACTTTACAACTCACCATTCTTGACTCCAGCTCCCTATCAAATCTTGTGGTCTATAAGATTATATAAGTGTGAAGGGTGGAAAATTGCAAATGCCCTGTGATCTGTATTATCAACATGGCACATTTCATCTATATAAATGCTGAAAGTACACTAGAAGTTACGAAATTACAGAACAGTTATAGAATATCAAAACAACTTCAAAAGTGATGTTAGCAACAGGAAGACCATTTAACTTGGGAGATCTTATAAGGAGACAACAGGTCTGTAAATTCAGAGGAATCTATTGGAAAGGAGAGGCTGCTGTTGGATGCATTTATACTGGGAATCTGCATAAAAACATAAAAAAACAGACAGAGGTGGGATCTTATCCTAAATAAGAATATGCAGGTTATGAAGACATGCTGAGTATGAATTAGAGTTGCATTTTATCACTTCATTTTTTTCAGAATTTTAAATTTGGCTCTACCAAAACAAACTCAGATGACTTTTCTAAAACATCTGTCACTGAACATAGGTTTAATGCAACACAATTTTTTTTGTAGATGCATGCAGAACAGTGCATGCAAACCAACATCTTAGGGATGCCTGCAATCCAACATCAATTCAGGGTGCCCCAAGAGCTGGGAAATATTTTCTGCAAAAGGCAACAGCAATATTACATCTGGGTGACATTTGATATCATTTTATGAGGAAAGGTCACCATTGGGAGGCCTCAAGCAACCTCACATTCATGACTCACCCTGTAGTGCCAGAATGCCAGAAATCTTCTCTGTCCCCAGTAAACAAGGAAACTGCTGTGTTCTCCACACTAAGCTGTTTTTTATATATATCTGAAAGGCCAAATTTTGAGGAAGTCTTCATTTTTTTTTGACTGCTATACCTTTTTGAAAATTAAGGCTCAGTAATGTTTTACTATCATCCATTTAAAAAATAAGCTGTCTCTAAGCACCACAGGTGCTTTGGGTATGACTACAGTCTTCTTGTTTGTTTGTTTTTTGTCTATGCAAAATATGAAAATAGTATCCTAATTCTCCAAATGTTGATTTGCCTTTTTGGTGATCCCATATGGCAAATAATGCAAGGAATAGCAACAAAAATAAATACTTTCAAGGCATGTTACACAAGTATCCCTCTGCGGAAATAAACCGAGTGTTTCCAGGACTTCTTTTCAACTGGCTTCTCCAGTGGTAACCTATTAAATGTCAGCTTTGCTGAGAAGTGTTTCAGCAAAAGACACTTCAGAAATTGGGAGACCAGATGCAGACACAGAAACTACAGGTACAGTAATTTCAGTATTTCCCCTCCATTAAGTACCAATGCTTTTTATAATGAGAGACGTTTCTAAGTGATTACCTCGACGCATCTTCTTTCCCCAACTAGTTGCCCCAAATTCTCTAAAGCCATATTGCCTTTAAGTGAATATGGGCAGCCTTCTGTGTTTGCTTTGCACTCTACCCATTCTAAGACAGCAATAGCCTTGTCACCGTGTACATGAGAAGAATGAACTTGAGAGGTTTGGTTTTGTGTTGTTTTTTCTTTTCTTCCTGAAGAGATCGGTCATTTCCATAGTCTTTGAAATTAAGGCCTGATAAGCAGAATTTTAATAAAACACAGATAAAAATCTTACTTTTATGCATGGAAAAAGTATAGAAAAGTGAAGAAATAATGCCTGAATTAAGATATTCTGTGCCTGAATCCATGTCCCAGTCCCTTACCAAACTAATATTTAGGCATTTGCTCATAACCTTTCTTTAGAAGACTTTGTTAAAGTTTTTCCCACTGGTATGCAATTCCTTGTTTGTCACCTGTTCATTGGAGGATTTTGGTTTGTTTTTTACAATAAAGAGTTGTTTCTGGATCAAGTATTATTTTTTAAGACTTTAGAAACTTTATAGATTCCCTTACTCAATTTAAAATTCACATCTGTATGCACATCTTGAGTTTTGGTTCTTCTAAGGAAAGCTGACATTTTATAACCAGATAACTTATATGCCTGTACATTTTCCAGCTTCCCCACTTTTGCCTCTGGGGAAACAATCCTAGATTTAGCAGATCTCCATCTGCCTTCCCTGCATAAACAGACAAAGCAACTACTGAGCCAACCTGTTTCTTGCTAACCACTCTATTTTTTAAGGAGGACAGTGATTTGGATTTTTATTTTTTTGACCTTGCATCTATATTTGATGGAGTTACTTGAGATGCTTTTGAAATTCGCTATTAACTTCTATTGCTCTTTATTTTTGTCCACATATTTCCAATTTCCTGAGGTTTTAAAAGTGTATTTAAGCATCCCACTTGACTTCTTAATGGCTCAAATTTATCCCTTTTTTTACACTTTTGTCTGCTAGCTATATTTAGAATGCTCAGTATCAGATGGGAAGGGTGCCTACAAATTATCTGCATTATTCCAAATTATTTGATAAGTTAGTTCATAAAGTATGCACACAACCATTCAATCTTACATAACTATGCTATTTGTACTGTGTGACAGATCAGTTAATTCCTGTATAGTATTTCTATTTCCTGATTGCATGTTTAGAAAAATTACATGGATTTAGATTGTAAGCTGTTTGGCACAAAGAATTCTCTTTGTTATCTATGTCATGCTCAAAGAACCACATCTCTAAGTTGTGATTAGAGTTGTATGTGCACCATCATCATAACCAACAAATACATGAATGAGAAACAC